ATGGTGGTACACACCTGTAGTTCCAGCTACTTGGAAGGAGGAGATTGCCTGAGGAGGAGATTGCCTGAGGCAGAAGGATTGCCTGAGCCTGGCAAGTCGAGACTGTGGTGACTGTAAGCGTGCCACTGCACTCCAGCCTTAGCGACAGAGCGAGACTGCAACTAAAAAGACAAAACACAAAAGCAAAAACTACTAGTTAGTATCAAAGTGTGGCAGGTTCTGGAGTGGTAGCTTTCTAAATGCAACAGCTTCCAGACCATAGCAGGGGAGGCACCGTTTTGAATTCAGCAGCTGTAGCCGCAGCTTCTCAATTTAGCAAATGATTTCCTGATTGCAGATTCAGTAGCTCCCTTGATGGCCCAGTTCTGCAGTGAGAGTTAATCCTGAAACTTCATCCTCAAAGTGGATCTCAACCCTGCACATTCAAATCACCAGAGAAATTTAAGGATATTCATAAACATGTCCAAAGGCTTTAATTCAGTATATCTGCAGTGGCTTCCAGAATCAGTATTCATAGAAAACAACCCAGATGCGGGTGACAGGAAGCTAAGGTTGAGAGCAAGTGACCCAGAGCCTCTGGCATCAGTCCTCCCAACACATTCATATGCCATTTAATGCCCAATGTTGCATCTATTTCTGTTTAAACTGTCTAGAATGGATTATTTTTTCTGTAACTAACCTTGACCAAATGCAATGCCTGGGGCAAAATCTTTGCAATAGAAGCAGAACAAAGGTTAAGCAGAGTAAAAGTTCAAATATACTCCCTCTCCTGTCAAGAAAGCAGCATTAAAATTTTCCATACTGGGAGTGGGGGTGAGATTGGCAGTTGAGGGAAATGCAACAGTGGGGGGAGGAACCTCATCAACAAGGATACCTGAATAATGAACCTTTGTATACCTAACCCTGAGTTGTACCCCACATCTTTAAAATAAAATTTTACTTAATTTTTAAATTTTTAAAAAACATTTTAAAGCCAGGCTTGGTGGCTCAGCCTGTAATCCCGCGCCTTTGGGAGGCAGAGGTGAGTGGATTGCCTGAGCCCGCGGGTTCGAGACCCGCCTGGGCAGCAAGACCTCAACTCAAAACAAAAAACAAACCAAAAAAAGAACATTTTAATACAAAGAGAAGAAAGAAAGATTGTAAGAAAAAGCAATCTAAGAATGGTAATAAAACTAAGTCTAGAGCTTTTGAAAAATAAGTTGCTATTGAAAGATTATAGGATAAGTAAAGCCTTAGGTAATCTACATTCTGCAAATTAGTTACGTCCTGCTTATTTATTTGTCTGTTTGTTTGTTTTTTGAGTTGGAGTCTCACTCTGTTGCCCAGGCTGGAGCGCAGAGACACACTCACAGCCACCACAGCCACGACCTGCTGGACGCAGGCGATCCTTCCACCTCAGCCTTCCAAGTAGCTGCAACTACAGACACGCGTCACTGTGCTCGGCTATGTTTTTGGTTTATTAGAGATGTCTCGCCAAGTTGCCCAGGCTGATCAAAGTGCTGGGATTACAGGCGTGAACCACCACATCCGGCTATTTTTATTAATATTTATTATCACCGTGATTTGCAGCTATGTGGGTTTTGGGGGGTTTTGCGGAGGAGGGGGGAAGTAATGAAATAATAGCGCTAAAGTTATCCCTATCAGTGCTCTGGGTATGCTAACAGATCATAATTTCTGGTCTGTTGCTGCCACCTACCTACTATCTGAGGCAAGGCAGTTCATGAGGATAGAGTGCGTTCAGACTTTTAGGAAAGTTAGTGCCACCTAAATTGTCTCTCGTTTCTTTGTCACTCTTCTAAAATACTTTTAGGCGCATGCTAAACCTTTAAATGACAAGCAGTTGTGCCATTAGGGATTGTTGCTCAACAGATGACTACAATATGCCAAGTATCCTGACCATGAAATACTATTACATATGGGTGCTATAGGAAAAGTAAAACTTACAAGAAAATTCATTCAGTAAATGTTGGTGAAATTTAGTCTAGGCATTAGGGTGCATGGCATACTCATCTACTACATCCTTTAAAATTGGCCTTTTTAAAAGACCATGTGTCTCAGAGATATCTCATATGTAAATAAGGTGGTTTATATCTGGACATGGAACACTTTTTGTGATTTGGAAAGATTTCTTCTAGAATTCTT